ACAGGACACGTCTTTTGCACCTCCCTCTCTGGAGCAGCAAGTCGGCTGCTACTGTCGCGAACCTTCGGGAGCCAATCCTGGGGTAAGCAACATGGTGACGACATGGTAATGACGTGTCCCGATGCGGTAACGACCAGACTTTCTTGTGTCTATAATGTTAGGATCTTTTCGTGCTTCCCCCGTCCCGTCGTCGTCCCTTTCGCTCTATAAGTCCAGTGACTTGATCTTCGCCTGGAGCAGCGATGTGAGCATCAATGTTGACGTAATCGGATGATTCAATCACGAGCTCTGGATATTTAAGCCAGCATCGCAGCATGGATGCCATTGATACTTTGTGCAACTAGGTGGCGCCCGATTATTGACATCGTTTCTCAGAACTACTCTCGATGGTTTCATATGGGTACGGGGGATGTCTCTCGCAGCTAGCTCTGACGGATTGGTGGTAGTGCGGTTCGTCGAAAACCATCATGCTCAGCAGTGTTCGGCGTTGTTTGAAGAATCACGCTTGCCAGGCATTGCAAGGTGTGGCCATCCAATGACATTAATACAAGGCATGTAACACAGGAAAGTATTGCGATGTTTTTTTCCAGCGGGTGGGGCGTGTTGTGTTGATCACCATTGGCCTCGCCGTGATTACGATGCGACGTGCAGCATAACATATCAAGGATTAGTACTTCGAATTTATGGTGGCCCCGGCGCAGCCACTTTAGCCACCTGTGGCCCTACATCCCAAAGTCCTTGCAGACCGAGCGCAGCTCTCACGAATGCATTTCTAGCCCTGGTCATCCTGACGCTCGTCTGACATCCCTCGCAGGTCGTAGAGAGCAGCACGGATATCTGAGGACGGCCTTACACAGATTCGGTCTCGCGTGCCATCGAGTAATCAGTCGATTGCAGTGCAATGCTCCGACATGTGCCCTTTATCGAAGACGCCTACGGCGAACCACCGCTGCCCGCTGCCTTTTGGAAGCGCCCATGCTGCCAAGCATTGGGTGTTCCCCTAGCCGTTGTAGAGCGGCCGTCTTGTGGCTTCCTGGGGGCTTCCAGGGATGCCTTTTTGGGGCCTCTGAGGGGCCTCATGCGGGCCTCCTTGGGCCTCATGGGGGCCTCATGGGGGCCTCTTGGGGGCCTCTCAGGGCCTCTACTGGACCTCTTGGCCTTCAGAGGCCGTCTTAGGGGCCCCTCCAGGCAGTCGTGGGTCCCCCTTTGGGCGCTTTAGGGCCGCCTTGGAGGTCCGTGGGGCCGCCTCGGGACCGTCTTGAGGGCTTCTGGGGCCGTCGTCGGGCCCTCTTGGGCGCCCTGCGGGCCTCATGGGGGCTCCGATTGGAAAAGGAGGAAAGCAATAACAAGCGCCTCACGCCAAGCACCCTTGCGACAAGCACACGGGGGCGGCGAGTCTAGTGCCGTCAGCCCATGCCGCCACCGTGCCCGAGTCGTGCACCAGACGTCTTTTAGAGGCCTCTCAGGGTCTCTTGGAAGGTATCTCGTGGCCCGTTGGTGGCCTCTTTGCGGCCTTTCGGGGCCGTCTTGGAGATCTCCTGGGGACCCATCATTGGGCTCCTCTCGGAGCCTACCTGGAAGGCCCTAGGGGCCCATTCGATTTCTCCTTCCTAGGCCTCTCTTTGGGCGTTCTTGGGAACCTCTTAGGCCCCCGATTCGGGGCTTTGGGGCCGTCCTGGGGCGATCTTTGAGGCCCCTTGGGCCGTCCTGGTTGCTCTCAAGACCGAAACGGCGATTATGCGGCGATTATGCGGCGATTATGCAAACACCTCGTGATTTTCAAGGACAGGCCCCGGAAGGAATTAGCGAACGCTCATACCACCTTCATGTGTCAATGCCCCCCCACACCCCCAAATGATCAAATCTGGCGATGGTTTCAACGAATTACACTTCGACCGCAGTCTTCCCCGCGCGTGCCAATTTTGAATCTGGGGGAGTGGGAGCGTCCACCAATTGCTTCCCTCTGCCAGGTCTTGGCTTTCTGGGCTGGCCCACAGGACCTCCAAGACGGCCCAATGTGCCCCTAGGAGAACCTGGGGATTACCCTTGGAGCCGTCTTAGGGCATGCCAGCAGAGGTGTATATTCCGAGCCATGCTCCCGAGGCCTCGGGAATACCCCGGGGGCCCTGGCCCCCGAGACGGAGTTTCGCATTATTCAGCACGGGCAACTCGAAGAAACCCGAGGATCACCAAGGACACTCCACTCAGTGCCCCGCGGCACGGTGACGGGGTCGCGACCCCCGAGCCTTGCTCGTCGTCGCTCTCCTTCTCTCCTCCCCACTGCCATCCCCCTCTTTCTTCCTTCGGCGCGCCCCCTGGGGGGAGAGGAGAGGGGAGGGGAGGAGGAGGAGGAGGAGGAGGAGGAGGAGCAGGAGGAGGAGGAGGAGGAGGAGGAGGAGGAGGGAGGAGGAGGAGGAGGAGGAGGGAGGGGAGGAGGAGGAGTGAGGAGGAGGAGGAGGAGGAGGAGGAGGAGGCGGAGGAGGGCGGATTAGGAGGAGGATAGGAGGAGGAGGAAGAAGCAGGAGGAGGAGCAGGAGGAGGAGGAGCGAGGAGGAGGCGGAGGAGGGGGAGGAGGAGGTTAGGATGCGGCATGGAGGAGTCGGAGGAGTAGGGATGAAAATGTGAGGGTTCGATTGCGTGAGGAGTGGGCGGAGGGAGGATTGAGGAAGGAGAGGCTGAGGAGGAAGAGGAGGAGGAGGTGAGGAGGAGGAGGGAGGAGGAGGATGAGGCCTTGTGAGGAAATTTTCTATGTCTTCGAAGAAGGCTCAGAAAACTTCCCTGAATGTCCGAAGCCTTCCGCGCCCTCTGAGAAGGCCCGCTCCCTCTCGGACTCCTGCTGTTTTTTCGGTCACGTCGGCTCTCCGGTGGCCCTTCAAAACGATCTGGGCTCCCGGAACGCCCTCGGCGAGGCGCAGCTGCCAGAGCGCACCCCGAGGCTGGAAAACCGCCGAGGACCGACGGCGACGCCTGAAGACCTCCTCCTGCTCCTCCTCCTGCTCCTCCTCCTCCTCCTCCTCCTCCTCCGCCCTCCTCCTCCTCCCTCCTCCTCCTGCTCCTCCTCCTCCTCCTCCTCCTCCTGCTCCTCCTCCTCTTCCTCCTCCTCCTCGTCCTCCTCCTCCTCCTGCTCCTGCTCCTCCTCCTGCTTCTCCTGCTGCCGCTGCGCATGGCGGTCCCTGGTCATCCTGTAGCAATGCAGACCTGTCCTGCCACCTCCCCGCGGTCCTCCTCCTGCTCCTCCTCCTTCTGCTCCTCCTCCTCTTCCTCCTCCTCCTGGGCTCGCCGCCGATGCTTCTCTCCCAGGGCGGAGCTGCCACAGCCAGTGCCCCTGGACTCCACCCGCCGCTGTGCACGGCGGCCCCGTTCTGCTCGGCTGTCTGGCAGGCCGTCGGGGACCCTCCCAGTGGATGGCCAGCATTCTCCCTCCTCTCATTGCAGTCGGCCCTGATGAGTAGGTCGACCCTGCCAAATCAAGGGTACTACGCCACCTAAATTCCTGTGGCAGGGTGGCCCTCGGAAGGGCCTCGTGTCCTCTCGCGTGTCCTGTCCAGTGAAGTCCACTGTGCGCTCAGCCCTTTCGACCTAATCGCTCGAGGTCGTCCTTTTGTCACGTACGCCGCCCAGCATTCGGACAACTTGTGACAGATTGCGACGCTGAAGGAGGTCTGCGGCGTGCTCTCACAAACAGGAGGACATTGGCGGAGTTGCAGCCCGCACAGTATCCTTGGCCATGAATGCACATATTCGGACGGCTTGTCGCAATCCGTGCGCGGCTCGAACGTACGAGCGGCTACTGGAAGCTATGGAGACCTCCGAACAGGGGAGGCACGCGCGCTCACGCACGGAATCACGCACGCACGTATGCACTGCACGCGCATGATTTCTTTTCCACGCGACCGTGGAGCGCAACCGCTCCGTTCGGCGACGACGAGCCACGTCCCGAGTCAATTGGTCATTGTAGTCAAGTTGTCGATGATCACGAAGTTTGGGTTCTGAAGCCACGGCCTCCACGCCATGTCCCATCATGTGCACGGGCGGGCTCCCTCGCGGAGCGCGCACTACTCCGGCGTTCGCTCGTTCGTGTGGAGGCGTGCGCAAGGCTGAAAACCCCAACGCAACCGTGCATCAATCAGGCGATCGCAAACATGGATCAAGTGGGCGTGGATCAGCGACGGGTCCCGAACGAGGCGGCGCCGGCCGCATTTTGGGGAGGGCACCTCCCCCGATCCATGGATCTGGCGACCGCGCTCCAAACCCATGGATTGTTAATCCATGTTTGCGCGCCCCCGACAAGCCCTTGACTTTTCGACGAAAAATGCAGCCGCTCAGAAGAGGAGGGGAACCCTGGGCTACACCCCAAGGGGGCTATTCGGACGCACCCCTCATCGAGGATGGATGCTCCCCCCATCCTGTATCACAGGGTTGGGCCCCGAGCTTCTGGTCCAGCGGGACCACCAGGCGGCAGCGGCAAGCGCGCACGTGTGCAGACAGACGGGGGCGCGGGGAGGCAACCGGACGAGAGGCCACGCCAGCACGCGCCCGCGGGTGGGGGGCCGCGCACCGGCGCCGTCACGCGCTCAGTCCGGAGAGGCAGCGCAGCGCAGTCACTGGATCGGCAGAGGCGGGGCCTCGCGTGAGCGTTGTTCTGTTGCTGCGGCGTCTCGGCATTTGGGCGGAGAGGGGGGGGGAAGGGAAGGGGGGGGGGTCTGGCTCCAGCGTTCTGCTCAGTGCGACTGTCTGCAAGAGTGCTGCCTCTGGGGGATGCTCCGCTCGCGCGAAACGGGCGCCAGAAAACAGCCAAGATCTCTACTCCAGGGGGGGGAGGGGGTTTGGGGCCCGCGCCGATCGGCAAAACAAGGAATAAAGAAACGGTCACCGTTCGCAGTTCTGTTTCATCAGCAATCCCACCATTGCGAAAACGATCGCTACCGTGGATGGAAACAAGTAACGCGAAACTGATTCGTAACGCTGGAATTTCGCCATTCAAGGGCCGCGGGGTCCAAGCTGAGCACGATCGGCGGCCGCCGCCGAAAATGAAACAACTAAACGCGAACCACAAGTGCATGTGTTTGAGCCCCGTATTGTCGTGGCCCAGACTGCATCCATTCTCTTTGAACGGCCGAATTTTAACGTTATGATTTGGTTTCGCGTTATTTGTTTCTTCATCCACGGCCTCGTTCTAAAGCTGTCTCCTCCTCCTTCTCCTCCTCTTGCTCGTCCTCCTCCTGCTGCTCCTGCTGCTCCTGCTTCTGCTCCTCCTCCTCCTCCTCCTTCTCCCTCCTCTCCCTCCTCCTCCTCCTCCTCCTCCTCCTCTCTTCCTCCTCCTCCCTCCTCATCCTCCTCCTCCTCCTCCTCCTCCTGCTCCTCCTCCTCTTCCTCCTCCTCGTCCTCCTCCTCCTCCGCCATCTCCTCCTATCCTCCTCCTCCTCCTCCTCCTCCTCCCTCGTCGTCCTCCTCCTAATCCTCCTCCTGCTCCTCCTCCTCCTCCTCCTCCTCCTCCTCCAGACCTCTGGGAAGAGGCGGAATAGTGGCAGCACACCGCATGCAGGCTGCACCGCGACGTGACGGATTGGTGCCAACATCGCAGAGCGGATTTCGATCGGAGAGCAAAAGGGTGGGCACGGATCGTCCTGGAGAATTTCGCTCCGGATTTCGGAGTGAATTTCGTGCGGATTTCGTTCTTGGCCAGGAATGAAGACCACCAAACATCCACGTGAAATCCACTTCGTTTTTCGCTCGCCGCTTCGGGGTTTCGCATTGACAGAAATCCGCGCAAAAATCCGCTGCAGCACGTTGGTTGGCATGAGCACCCTCCTCACGATGCTGTGTGCAGCCCTGCGACGAGGTGTCGCCGCACGCGGAAACGCACAGCGCCTTGGCCATCACACGAGCCACGAATCTCAATCTATCGATTCTGCGGTCCACCTTACCACGGTCGACTGGGGAAGGTTCAGGATGGAGGGAGAGGGCATGTTTGGCAAGGAAGTCGGGGTTCGAGTGTACAATGGCAATGCGTTTCTCCTCGGGTGGCAGAATGTCTATGACCTCTCTAGAAAGGTATGCAGACTATGCCACTCTTCGGGGGACGTGATTTCTGATGATGATGACGATGCTGATGCTGCTGATGCTGGTGCTGCTGATGATGATGATGGTGATGAATGCGACAATGATTTTGACGATGCGTAGCATGATTATAATGATGATACTGATGCTGCTTATGATTCTGCTTATGATTGGTATGATGATTATGATGGTGATGCTGATGATGATGACGATGCTGCTGATGATGAGGATGGTGATGATGATGGCGATGCTGATGTCGATGATGATGATGATGATGATGATGATGATGATGATGATGATGATGATGATGATGATGATGATGATGATGATGATGATGATGCTGCCGATGATGATAAGGATGGTGGTGATGTTGATGCTGATGTTGATACTGCTGCTGCTGATGATGATGGCGATGATGATGATATCATGATGGTGATGATGACGATGATGATGGATGATGATGATGATGACGATGATGCTGATGCTGATGATGATGATGATGATTATGCTGCTGATGATGATGATGCTGATGATTATGATGCTGATGAGTATGATGATGATGATGCTGATCATGATTCTGAAGATTATGATGATGATGATGCTGATGATGATGATGGTGATGATGATGATGATGATGATGATGATGATGATGATGATGATTATGATGCTGCTGCTGATGATGAGGAGGAGAAGGTGGAGGAGGAGGAGGACGAGGAGGATGAGGATGAGGGTGGTGGAGGCCGAGGAGCGAGCGATGAAGGGCTGCCTCAGATCGCAGAGTGGGAGGCCGCGGTGCCCGTCGCCTGCGTGGCCGCGCAGAACAGGGCGCTGGACCCTGTGCCCGCAGGACCAGGAAGGGGCACTGGGCAGCGGCGTGGCAGGGAGTTCCAGCGAAGCGCCCTCGCCAAGGGGCGGGGGGTGGAGGGCTTCTCCGAAGGGCTTAGACGACCCGTCCTCCTCCTCCTCCTCCTCCTCCTCCTCCTCCTCCTCCTCCTCCTCCTGCTCCTCCTGCTCCTCCTGCTCCTGCTCCTCTCCCACCCCCTCCTCCTCCGTCCTCCTCCTCCTACTCCTCACTCCTCCTCCCCTCCTCCTCCTCCTCCTCCTCCTTCCTCCTCCTCCTCCTCCTCCTCCTCCTCCTTCCTCCTCCCTCGTCGTCCTCTCTCCTTCGTCGTCGTCGTCGTCGTCCTCCTTCTCCTCCTCCTCCTCCGACTCCGCCCCATCCTCCTCTTCCTGCTCCTCCTCCCCATCCTTCTCCCCTCCTCCTCCTCCGTCCTCTTCCTCCTCCTCCTCCTGCTCCTTCCTCCTCCTCCTCACTGGCTCCTCCTTCCTCCGTCCTGCTCCTCCTCCTCCCGTCCTCCTCCGCCTCCTCCTCCTCCGTCCTCTTCCTGCCTCCTCCCCTCCGCCCCCTCCTCCTCCTCCTCCTCCTCCTCTCCTGCTCTCCTCCTCCTTCCCCTCCTCCTTCCTCCCTCCTCCTCCCTCGTCGTCTCCTCCGTCGTCGTCGTCCTCCTGCGTCGTCCGTCCGTCCCCTCCTCCTCCTCCTCCTCCTCCTCCTCCTCCTCCTCCCCTCCATCTCCTCCTCCTCCTCCTCTCCTCCTCCTCCTCCTCCTCCTCCTCCTCCTCCTCCTCCTCCTTCTCCTCCTTCCTCCACGCACCTTTCCCCCTTTCCCTCGTAGTCCCTCCTTCTCCTCCCCCTCCTCGTGTCGCCTACGGCCCCGGGGGAAACCGTGCAGCGGGGGGGATGAGGAGGTTGATCGGAGCGGGCGACGGGGCGCATTGACAGGTACGGGTGGCGGAAACAACGAAGCAACACTCGCGCGCAGCGTATGGTTTGAGCTTCCCCCCCCTATCCCGCCAAGGGCACTGCTGGCCTGGAATTTTGAGTCTGAGTGTCCGAGCGGTGATGCGTAACCGTGCTAACTTTGAAATGCGGGGGAGGGGGGAGCTTATTCGCCGACCCACTGCACCTCCCTCCTTTACGTTTACCTCCCTTCCTCCCTGCCTCCCCTCCTCCCTTCCTGCCCCCTTTCGCCTTCCCTCCCCTCCCCTCCCCCCTCCCTTCCCACCCCTCCTTCCTTCCTCCTTCTCCTCCTCCTCCTCCTCCTGCTGCTGCTCCTCGTCCTCCTCCTCCTCCTCCTCCTCCGACACTGGGCCAGCTCACCCGATCCTGAACTGACCTGGAGCCTTACCTTACCCGATCCTCAACCAGCCCGCGCCTAACTCACCCGGTCCTCAACTCACCCGGTCTAATTTGATGCTCAACTCACCCAGTCTAGTTCACTTTGCCTTGTCTCACCTTCTGCTCAGCTCACCTGGCCTCAACTCACCCCCGGTGCCCAGCTCACCCGGTGCTCAATTCACCCAGCCTCATCTCACCCAGTGCTTAAGTCACGCGGTGTCACCCAGTCGCTAACTCACCCGGTGCCCAAGCTCACCCAGCGCCTAACTCACCGGGTGCTTAAAATTCGTTGGGTGCCTATTTCCCTTGGTCGCTGACTCACCCAGTGCCTAAATCACCCGGTCGCTAACTCACCTGGTCGCTAACTCACCCGATGCCTAACTCACAAGGTGCCAAATGGACCCGGTGCCTAATTCACCCAGTCGCTAACAAACCTGGTGAAAGACTCAGCCGGTCGCACTCACCAGGTGGTTGACTCACCCGGTGCCGGACTCGCCCAGCCAGAGCCTCCTTCACCCGGTGCTGAATTCACCCGCTACCCCAATTTACCCAGCACCTCACTCACCCTGCGTCTCACATTCCCAGCCCTCCACTCAACCAGCCCTCACCCGCCTGGCGCCGAGCTCACCCATCGCCTGACTCACCCAGCGTCTGCGCCTAACTCACCGTGCGCCTCACTCTCCCGATGCCCAACTCACTCGGCACTTACCTCACCCAGCGCCTGACTCACCCAGCGCCTACCTCACGGCGGTTAACCTACGCCAAGACCACCATCTCCAGCATCTTCCTCGTCCTTCTCCCCCTCCTCCTCCTCCTCCTCCTACTCCTCCTCCTCCTCCTCCTCCTCCTCCTCCTCCTCCTCCTCCTCATCATCGTCCGCCTCTTCGTCGTCGTCCTCCTGCTCCTCCCTCTTTCACCTCCTCCTCCTCCCTCCTCATCCTTGAAGTCCTCTTCCTCGTCCTTCTGCTTCTCCTTTTCGTCCTCCTCTGCGTCCTCTTCGGGAAAGGCGCACGCGGGGACCGCGGCGGCGACAACGACGACACCGACGGCAACGCGAGCTAAAAGAAGAAATCGGAGGAGGAAGAAGGAGATAATGGGCGAGAGACTCAGTTTTGAATGCGGCCAAGGACGATTCCATGATGAGTGTGAACAAACATGGATCGCCCACACGGCCATGCGCGCAGCATTCGCTACAAAACGCCGCTGTTTTTCAAGACAGCCCAGCTCGTTCGGCGCCATACCCACAATCAATCAAATCAAACAAATGAAACCAATCACAATCAAACCAGTTGACCAGGCCCCCCTCAATCAAATCCCAAACTCGTATCCGGATCGGCCAACCATCGGCTCGGACGGAACGGAACGCGCGCCCCGCAGGGCGGCAGAGGCGAAGGGCGGCGGCGGCGACGACGCCGACGCCGACGGCGACGCGACCTGACAGGAAGAGAGCGGGTGGCGGGAAGGAGGAGAGGACGGGACAGAGAAAGAGAGAGAGAGGGACAAGAGGGTCTCTGCTCACCCCGCTCGCCTGGCACGCACCTCACTGTTTTGAAAAGCGCCCCGAGCCCTCACTGAACAAGGAATGACGCATTGACACAAGGCAGAGACGCGCTGCAAAACGCCGCGAGCTGAGAGGAAAGAGCGTGGGGGCGGGAAGGAGGAGAGGATGGCAGAGAGAAGGAGAGAGAGGGAGGGACAAGAGGGTCACTGCTCACCCCGCTCGCCTGGCACGCGCCTTACCGTTCCAAACACGCCCAGGTCGGA